CACTTACAGCATAACCCGCTACACTTACAGGATAACACGCTACACTTACAGGATAACCCGCTACACTTACAGCATAACACGCTACACTTACAGGATAACCCGCTACACTTACAGGATAACCCCGCTACACTTACAAATAACTCGTTACACTTGCAGTGTAACACGCTAAACTTACAGATAACCCGCTACATTTACAGATAACACGCTACACTTACAATCACAATCATAGATACGTTAGAAAACTTCCTCTACACTTAACACGCTACATTTTCAATCACAAACAGTCACAAGCTGAAATATGCTACAAACTCACAACTACATTCACAGTCACAATTTGAGATATGTAACAAATTTTAACAATGACCAATTTGAGATACATTCACAGTCACAACTAATTTGAGATACATTCACATTCACATTTTCAGTCACAATTTGAGATGCATTCACAGTCAAAAGCTGAGAAATGTTACAAAACATACACATATTCACAGTCATATGCACATATTCACAGTCACAAATAATTCAGTTTTTGCACATATTCACATATTCACAGTCACAAATTGAGATATGTAACAAATTTTAACAATGACCAATTTGAGATACATTCACAGTCACAACTAATTTGAGATACATTCACATTCACATTCACATTCACAGTCACAATTTGAGATGCATTCACAGTCAAAAGCTGAGAAATGATACAAAACATACACATATTCACAGTCATATGCACATATTCACAGTCACAAATAATTCAGTTTTTGCACATATTCACATATTCACAGTCACAAATTGAGATATGTAACAAATTTTAACAATGACCAATTTGATATACATTCACAGTCACAGCTAATTTGAGATACATTCACATTCACATTCACATTCACAGTCACAATTTGAGATACATTCACAGTCAAAAGCTGAGAAATGATACAAAACATACACATATTCACAGTCATATGCACATATTCACAGTCACAACTAATTCAGTTTTTGCACATACTCACATATTCACATATTCACAGTCATATGCACATATTCACAGTCACAACTAATTCAGTTTTTGCGCATATTCACATATTCACAGTCACAGTCATATGCACATATTCACAGTCACATACACATATCACAGAACAATTTCAGATGCACATATTCACAGTCACAACTAATTCAGTTTTTGCGCATATTCACATATTCACAGTCACAGTCATATGCACATATTCACAGTCACATACACATATCACAGAACAATTTCATATGCACATATTCAGTCACAACTAATTCAGTTTTCCCGTTCAACAGCACACCAATCTTCGAAGGATCAAATTCTTATGTTTTCCCGTTCAACAGCACACCAATCTAGGGAAGTGAGCTTGTGGTGATTGCTTATATCCTGAAATCAACCGATACACGGATTAAAAGAATAGTAGACGAAATGTAAAAGTATAACCACATACATTACACATATTACACTTATGGAAAATATACCTTCAGATAGAAATAGAGCTACGATACGAGCTCTATGTCTCGCACAATCCTTTTGATCTATTGAAATTGGTTGGCCGGATACGAGCTCTATGTCTCGCACAATCCTTTTGATCTATTGAAATTGGTTGGCCGAAGTTTCAAAAATCAGAATATGCAAACTTCACAAGAAAAATACAACTACAGTATATTATCAATAAAAGAGGTGGATACCATTACTGGAAGCAGAAGACTCCGGTGATATGGAAACCGATGGGCTTTTAAACACGCGTATTTCCCTCCCAAGTTCTTCTGCAACAGCTGCATGCTGGGCCTGAAAACATTCAAATGGAGCTCAAAGTCACTAACTTGCAATTAACAGCAAAAAACAGTCCAATGCCTATCCTCAATGAGTTTAACAATTCTCGATATACTTGTTATATTTGCATGACGTGGATCAGAAAAGATTGAATTTTTTCGACACTGAATAATCAAAAAATTGATTTTTCTTATTATGTTCTATTGGGTCAAAAATAAACCAAACCCTACTGCTCAATAATTCAACAACGAGCTTATCCCCAACCAAATACACAGAAAGTGATCCCCTTAAATTGAGGGAAACCCTAGATGTTGCAGAGAAAATGAGGAATTGAGAGAAAAACAACAAAATTTGAGAGAGAGGAAAAAGATGAGACCTTTGATTTGCTTTCATCGATGGGATCCATAAGTTTCATCCGCTTGAAGGTCATCCTGAAGAGTTCTGGGTCTCGGATACTTGAATTATATATAGGGCCGAGATCAAGACTACGACGAGCTAACGGCGTGGTCACTGCGACGGCGAGGTCGAGATAAGGCGACGGCGAGGTCGAGATCAAGGCGACGGCGAGGTCGAGATCAAGGGGACAGCGAGCTCACGGCGTGGTCTTATCGACGGCGAAGGGCCACGGGGACTGCGACGGGGAGCTTACAACGATGGTTTAATGGAGAGAGAGAGAGACGGCGTCGGCGACGGCGAGCTTACGACGACGAGAAGGGGGACAGAGCTTTTTCGATTAGGGCTGAGAGATGAAATGGGGGAAATGAGGAAGAGAGAGGAACGGGTTACATTTGGGGGCTGTTGAAAGGATATTATGGGAATTTTACTATGCTTTTGTATAAATACATATGTCTACATTTACTGTATTTCCAAAGTTGGGCTTAAAGATAAATACCCAAAGATCTTTGGGTTTATGGATGCATCAAATAGTAAATGGGTTTATAGGTAAAGATGGGTAATCATTTGGGCCTAGAAATAAAAAGCCCATAAAATAATCAGTATCTCTTGTAATTGTCACAAAACATCAACAAGTGACAAGTCCATTTGCATGATATATCTTCATCATTCAAACATGTCAATTTTAGTTTTAAGTTTAAGAAATTTATTTGGGAAAGCTCTTATTAATTAGCAATTCCGTAAATAGCTTGAACCTTAGTGTAAATTGAGCAAAGATGTGTCTCACATCTCTAGTATTATATCATCTTTTAATATTGCTATTGTGTTTATAGTATAATTTTGTTCATGCATAGGGTTATAATTTTTTCACTCTATTAATCCACGCCGGGGATCTGCTATTTAGTAAATTTGACCCTCTATGTCTGTATGTTTTGTTTCAGCTTTAAATGCTGATGATTAATACTGCTATTTAGTAAATTTGACCCTCTATGTCTGTATGTTTTGTTTCAGCTTTAAATGCTGATGATTAATATAGACTTTGATAAGGTAATTAAATTTGAAACTGTATGTTTTGTTTCAGCTTTAAATGCTGATGATTAATATAGACTTTGATAAGGTAATTAAATTTGAAATATGATATGAATTGTTTCCTTTTTTGTCTCATTACCCGATAAGTTCATGTTTTCCAACTATTGGCCAATCTAATTATCTAAGGATCCTAACACATAAATCTCTTATTACGTCATTTATGTGGGTTTTATGAATATTGGTAAAATCTAAACCAGTATATTACATGAATATTGGTAAAATCTAAATCATCGATTCACTTCATAATTTTACGGTTCACTTTTAAAATTTTCGATACTGAACAAGTATACCCACGTGCAACGCACGTGCACTTTACTAGTTATGAAGAAGAGGGGGGAAAAAACTGGCGCATACTAAAGGAAGACTATATGAACTTAAGGAAGAATGCATAGAATAATTTAACTCTTTAAGAAAAGAGTGAAAGCCTCTCTTAGGATATAAAAGTATAACCTTCAACATTCAATGCGACTTTCAGATTTTTGATGTAGTGGCAGAAATTTTAACATGCTAAACAAAACAATTCAGGTTCAAATCTTACTGGCACAAATTTCTAAAATGGATTTTAAAAAGAAAACACTGCTCCGCGAGTTTAGGCCTCCGAGAATTTTATGACCTTCATGTACAATGAGAAAATGAGAAAATTTTCACTTGTAGAGAAATAGAGAGGACCGGGTTATTATTTAGGAAAATAGCTGGTCACCATATGGTGCATATGATTTGTGCGTGTATTCTTGCATTTCAATTTGAATTTTCATGGCAAGTTGTTCCGGAGCCTATCTATTATTAGACTAGGAAGAGGAAGAAATGTGAATGTTAATGGGCTAAGCACACTTTGAATGAAAACAAAAGGACACTTGAAATACGTGCTTTGATGCATATTTTAAAAATTGTGATTACAGTGATAGGTCATTTTCGAAGGATAGCACGTAGGACATCAGTCATGTTCACTTAACTTCTAGAGTAATATTGTTTAAATTTAGAAAGAACAGTAGGCAGGACGTGTCATGTTCATTTAGGGGCAGTTTGATTCGCTAAGAAACTAAAAAAAGGAAATCAAAATATCTGACACATCCATGTGAATGTGTTTAATTTCATTTTCTTGTGTTTGGTTGAGAGAGGAAAAAAAAATGTTGTGTATGTAAGACACACCCACTAGTAAGATAATAGTGTCATGGGTTCCAAATTTAAAAAAAAAACTCGTTTCCTCCCAAAAAGTCAGGAAATAAGCTTGAAAACATGAAAATGAGTCCCACAACATATTTCTCATAAGTAATCTTTCAAACTTAGATTTCTAGGAAATAAACCAGACAACCCCTTACCTTCTAAGTGGTTTTGTATAGAGCACACTCAATAAATTAATCTATGTTATTATCCAATAAATAAATATCATTATCAAATTTAAATAAACATAGATGATACTTAATTTCTACACAAACAACACGTATTGATGCAGTTCTAAGAGAATGTTATATTTGTTTAATATATACCTCAACAAAGACATAAAATTTTAAAGAATTGAGCTTTGTTACTTACCAGTTTAGCACCAATAGTATCCAATACGTTAAAAATCTTAACGGTTAGTACTTGTTACCAAAGTTGACTCTGTTGCCTCTTTTTAACTCAAGCGCATGTGGAAAACGCCAACGTGGACCATAGTCAGGGTCATTTTAGTAAAAGCGTCTCCATCATCCGTTCATCTTCTATATTTACCCCCGCTCCTCCACCCTCTCTGTCTCCAATCTGCTTCCCTCTTCCAACTTCGTCAATTATTATTACTATAAGTACACTCTGAACTCCCTCCCTCTCTCTCTCTCTCTCTCAAAATCAAGAAAATCCTCATTCATTCGATTTTCTCTCTTCTTGATTACCGACAGATCTGAATCCCTTCACTATCAAACACGGGACGATGAAGAACTCGGTATCCGATAGGAGTCTCTACATCGAGAGCGAAGAAGAAGAAGAAGAAGAAGACGAAGTCAATGAAGAAGAAGGGCGCGCCAAGGAAGGAGCAGACGACGACGAGGATTCCGACGGCTCGGACTCCTCCTCCGCCGGTACCCCGCGGCGCAGCAGACCGGGCTCCTACAACACGGCCTGGCCTCAGAGTTACAGGTAGGTAAACAGCAGACCCAGCCTAGGTTTTTCTTCTACTAGTCGTTTTCTCCCTGGCTGGGCTGGTTCAAAAATAAATTAATCGCACGATAGAGGAAGGAAAACCACGTACAATGTCCATCTATAATTAGGATGCATCGTTTAGATTTAAAATTGTTTATTTCCCCGATTAATGACTTTTATTGTTTTCCGTTTCTTCTTCTTCTGGGGTATAAAAGTATCGGTTTTTTTTTTTTAAGTTTTAATTTGGCGGGTTGTAACCGATAATTAATGCCCTGCCTCAAATTTAGGGTTTATTAATTGCGTTAATAACATATTCTTGATTGAGTTAATTAATTTTCGGTTTTTCTATAGAGTGCCCATGGTCACTCTATAAGAGAGGAGAGAGACAGAGAGAAATGAATGAGAAGAGAGGAGAGAGACAGAGAGAACTGAATGAGGAGAGAGACAGGAGAAACCTTCTAGTTCCCCTCCTCATCTCCCGTGTCTTTCTCTCTATATTTAATTACAGACCAATTAAATTAATTAATGTAATTTGAGATATTGGGTGAAAGGTTAAAATCAATATGGGAGATATGGAGTAACTAAAGCGAATACTTGGATTTAGAGGGTAAATTTTTTTTAATTTTATTAAGGGGTACCAAAGAAAAAAAAAGAAAAAACAAATCCCTTGGCTGGTTTATGATTAGCGTTATCTTTGGACAAGAGACATTTCCTAATGTTTAGCGTATGATCACACATCGGAGACAGGAGTAATACTTAGACGACACGTGGTTGATTCATATGATTTCTTACAAAAAAGACCAGATGTCCACACACCAAATGTTCCCCGACACATGTTTGACACGTGTCCTACCCCAACATTTTTTTTAGGAAAAATTCCCCAAGAACCCAAAATATGGGACTAATAGAGGGGACAAGTGAGGTGTCTCTCTCCTATTGAATAATGAGTTGACCAATAGACGACACGCGGTTTAGATATTTAGTTAAAAATGACCATGTTTTTAATTTATAATCTAGGAACATAAAAAATATTATAGAAATTTTATTTTTCATAACATGTGAATGAAAAAAAAAGATATTATGTAACTATTAATTTGAATATATATATATATATAAATATATATATTATATATATATATATATATATATTATATATATATAATATATAGTATTATATAAGGTTACGTCTCTCAGTATCTTACATTATACAAATTTATCAGTTTCTCATAAACAGCAGTGCAACATTAATTAAGTCCAGAGTGCTGTATATAGATTGGGAAGATAAACTTTGTATCTTATACCAGAGAGATGACAAGAGCCTATTTTATGCACAATAGTTGTTATGGTCGTTGTAATTTCATTTTTTTTGTGTTAATCTATTATTGTGCACAATAGTGTTTTCTCTTCGCGATCCACCGAAATATGACCTCAGTGAATATTCGGAAGAATCTGAGGCTCCGATCCGAGTTTTGTACTGGGCACCAAATCGTAATCAGGGTTTTAGACGTCCTTTCAAAATTGAATGTCTTGCGAGTGTTTTAATTTATCTAGCTAGCGTCATGTAATTAATTAATTAGCGGTGATGTTGATATTTTTTTGTTTTCGTCCGGTCAACAACACATCAATTAAGCACGACAGTGCTGTCAATCACGGAGGTTGTCTTATGTAACACATGTAATTAATTAGATTACCACTTGTTATATAATTGAGACAACTAATCATGAATTATTAAGCATCCAACTTGTGGCATCAATTTCGGTAATTGGAGTTTCACATTGTTTATGGTATAGACGGAGACTAGAGATCATTTCATCTGCAAAAAAAAGTATTAACTTATTTTAATGACTGATTATAATCTATTACAAAATACGAATGAATACAATCCATGAGCAATTTGATGATAATGACGTCTAGAATGAATCATAATTAATTTGGGCACTTATTAACTTGGAGAAGCTTACGCTTTTTTTTGGAGGATCTTTTATGAGGTTCCCCTTGGAGGCCCACACATATGCGCCTCCCAAAAATTATTTGTGTCCAGTGCGCCCGCCTTAAATAGTGATTATGTTCATCTCCATTTTGGGACACGAAACTTTTGGTTTACATAATTTCTCGATCTTAAAAATTGAAGCCCAAATTTTGTAACCTTAAATAGTGATGTTAATGAACAGTGCATCATGCAACTGGATGGTGGCACCTCACCTGTCTTAAAAATATATCGATTTTAAAGATCGCACTTAGTATATGAAAATCCCGACACAGTACATACAAAGCAGTGGAGGGGGTTCAAATTCTTCAAATTCTCAAGTTGTTGAAAATAATTAGGATTCTACTCACTTGCATACAAGTTGGTCAGATAATAATTTAAGCTGATATATTGGATATGAGTCGTTACTTCATTTAAACAAATGCTAACAAAATAATTTATCATCTCATACTCAAAAAAAAATTCTTTCTGTAAATATTTTGCAGGCAGTCGATCGACATATACAGCAGCGTGACGCCGCCGACGATCGGATTCCTGCAGGGGACGCCGTCGACGCTGAGCAGGCTCGGCAGTAAGCTGATATATTGGATATGAGTCGTTACTTCATTTAAACAAATGCTAACAAAATAATTTATCATCTCATACTCAAAAAAAAATTCTTTCTGTAAATATTTTGCAGGCAGTCGATCGACATATACAGCAGCGTGACGCCGCCGACGATCGGATTCCTGCAGGGGACGCCGTCGACGCTGAGCAGGCTCGGCAGCTCGTTCCTGACTTCTTCGTTCCAAGGCCGACACACGCCGGAGGTCATCTCCTCACTCATCAAGCCACTCCTTCCGACCACCATCTCAGAGCAGGAGCAACAACAACAAAGGAAGAGCTCTCACTCCTTGCTCCCACCCCCAATTCCCACAAAGAGGACTTCCTTCAGAAAAACTAAAGAAGAGCAGAAGCCTGCAGCCAAGTCTTTTGTGTCACATGAGCTTCCTACTGGACCTCGGCAGTGCACTTTTGGCCAGGCTGTGCTTAATGGTAAGACTTCGATTTCATAGTAACTCGACTTTTAATTAGAATGATATTACTAAAGTTAAGTGATCGACATCCGTAAAAAAAATAAGTGTAGCAGAAATGAACAAGAACGTTAATGTTACGAGGTATATATACGACAACCACCACCAAATCCACCAGTTAAAGAGAAAACAATTAATAGAAATTATAGCCGGTTTATGGAGCAGGGAGAATTAGACGCATAACTAACTATATACGAGTAAGATATGCTACTTGCTAAATTAAACGATGAGATAAACTCAGAATATTTTTCACATAGTCCATCAATAAATTTGGCATTAAGGCTTTGTTATTATCATCATACCATGTATTTAATCTAATATACGCGAGTAGGCAGCAGGATGAATTTGAAAAGGTGTGTGAGAAAGTATTGTGCAGAAAAATTAAGAATAAACAAAATCCCACTTCTTGTGTTAGATATTTTTTTCGACCACAAGTTAAATTAAGATAGAAGGACGTGGTGATATCTGGCGCACAGTATCAGGAGAATTGATATGTGAATACTAGCTAGTAATAGACAATTTATGATAATGTTTCGCAAATCCATTAATTTTTATGTGAGTTTAATGGTTATGAGGTAGCGGCTCATTTCGCTAAATAATATGTTAAGAGATAGAGGTGTGAGGCCGACACGATTTGATGTAACGTTTAAGATGAGCCTCGTCACGTTACTATTTATTAGTAGCTGATTAAGTAAAATGAGAAGCCTTCTCTTACCAATTATTTCCTTATTATATTACATTGCTAACGTCGGTCTAAAAATTGTAGTTCACGTATTTAGCAGACAAAGAGGAATTAAGTTAATACCAATCCTGATTAAAAAACGTGTGTCTGTGACACGATAATGATATGCATCAAGTCTTATTCACGTTGAGATGTAGAAAACTATGCGGATACGAATGAAGACGCGTTTTAGGGACAGATCAGTGACTATGCACATGACCATCATAGGGCTTGAGACACTTGATCCGCTGCCAGCTCGCCAAGCTCTTGTCTTTTGTTGACGAAAGATGTCAGCTTGGGATATTTGGGAAGTGGAAACTGGACCACGATTGGAACAGGGCAGAATAATGGTGATGTGGGGGTCCCATTGGCAGGTGAGGCACGTGGGTGTCGTGTTGCGGCTCTAACTGAAACACGGAAGTGTGGATCTCTATTATCGCCGCTTCTCATGGCGAAGACAACCAAATCCTAGTCACTTTGATGTGTAATCTCAATCATATCTAATAATGAGCTCAATTTTATTCTAACAATTTGGACGATCTGGTTGTTGATTTTGTCGTCTTTCACCTAAAGTCAATATAGATCTTGATTGTCATCTATCATCTTGTGATATGTTTGTTGGGGCGTAGAGTCACGCCCGTCGCCGCGGAAGCGATATCACCTGAGAGAGTACCCTGGCTTTCGTTGTCACAAAAGCACAAGTCAACCTCTAAATTCTTGTTTCTCAAAGGAAACGAGAATAGATAATGAAATTCTTATTTCTCAAAGGAAACAAGAATCGAAAGTGATATATTTCATCAAAGTGAAATATACACTCTTCCTCTCATCAGTTCAAGGACTGAAATCTCGAGGGAACCTACAACCCATTGGGAGGTTTGTATTAGAGATGCCATAGTAATTGTTAACAAAGAAACAAATGGTAAGCTAGAAGTTAATGACTTACCCTTGTTAATTTCTGGCTAGTTCATGAAGCTAGAGATATTATATATATAACCCCATAGAAGAAGAAAAAACAGCAGGTAGGATGACGTTGAATTCAATAAATCTAGAATAGACCTTTTTTTTCAATAACAACAATAATAGAGCTAGGTATTTTTCTTGTTTGGCTAACAATAATGTAAAGTTACCATCATAAAGGCCTCATGCATGCTACTGTCTACTTCTTGCAAGGTCAATTATACATGATGCTTCATTTGGGAGCATTAATTTATTAATAACAACCATGATATGTAATTGACTGATGAACTTGCGGATCAGTCTTGGGCTGGAACTCTCATAGTCAACTGGTTATTAATAGCAATCCCATCTGTGCAGAAAACTATTAGTCATTGTGTTTTCATCGATAACATCTCTATATTCAACTAGTTGTTATACTCCTCGCATGAATGCTTAATTTGTTGCTATTGTGATTCAGTATTCGGTAGAAAATACAATGAGCAGATATTCAGGGGGGGAAAACAATTACAAAATTTCAGAAACCTACTTGAAGCCTGACAAGTTTGAGTCAAGTATCATTTTATGGAGGGTTTGGGTGTTCTAATAGAAATTTTTATACTTTTTAGTGTTTTGCATATTTGAAATTTGGAGGAGTTAAAGATTTTGCTAATATTGATATAATGCGTAAATTGACATTTGACTTCTATTAAGGAAAAAAATTCTAATATAATGATTTTAGAGTCATCCATATTCCCTTATTTTATGGTAGTGACAAAAGATTACTAATGGCTACTTTCCGTGGAATTCATATGATCCGAAAAGATAAATCTTATCAAGGTTTTAGAGTGAATTATATTTGCCATATATTCATGTCTTATTGTTTGCAACAAGGGACTGACTCCATCCTTCTGCTCTTCATTCTCCGTACCTTTTAAGGAGTAATTATGAGTTTTAAACATATTGATCTCCGAAAGTAGGAAATTTTTTTATTTGTTAAGAGCAACTAATTCCATACCCACACGTATTAAGAAACATAAGTTAGTTTGAATGCAAATATAGCAAGTTCATATAACTTTTAAACAACAGTTGAATAATCTTGTGATGATTTAGGAATTAATGTTCTGTGTGGAGTTGGAATTCTCTCAACACCCAATGCAGTGAAGCAAGGGGGCTGGTTGGGACTATTAATCTTGTTACTATTTGCTGTGCTCGCTTTCTACACTGGAATTCTCCTTCGACGATGCCTTGACAGTGACTCAGGCCTCCAAACTTATCCAGACATTGGCCAGGCTGCCTTTGGCAACGCTGGTCGCTTTGCTATATCGGTAATGATCCAATACAAACCTCCCTGATCTTTTGTTAATGTTTATAACTGGCAAAGTTTAATTAAAACTTTTCTTTTTTGGGTCTTTCTTTTGTACAGATAGTTCTATATCTGGAGTTGTATGTAAGTATTAGATACGAAATCTTTTTATGATGTATAAGTTTATTTTCAGGATTGAGGTAACTATAGTGATTTCTTTGCAGGCTTGCTGTGTCGAGTACATCATACTAGAGAGCGAATATTGGTGGATTGCATATCAATTCTCATATACTCTTTGCTGTGATGACCACTCTGATTGTTCTTCCTACAACTTGGGTTCGGGATCTAAGCATTCTCAGTTATCTCTCAGGTAAATCCTGAATTCATCTTTTGTCGCTCCCAGGTTTATATTCAAATTATCAATCATGCACGAGGAGCTAGGAGATTTTGCTTCAAGTTGAATTATGTAGAAGGAACTATTTCAAAGTTACTAACACTAAAGTTGTCTTAAGGTCATTCCAAATAGAGGCACTAATTTCGGCTCTATCCTCATATTTATTAGATTAAGCTAAACAAAGACTTTACACCTTAAAACTTAAACATCTAATAAGAATTTAATAAATCAATAAACCTTACATCTTCATTTTATCAAACAATCAGAGGTAGGCATTAGCCAACCTCCAAATAACCTCTAAGTATACTCCTCTTTTTTTTTCCCCTTTTAACAAAACATATAGTTGAGTAAGTCAACAAGGGTCTTACATGTTAGACCAAAATAGGATTCTATAATGCCAATAAACCATTCTTTAGTGCATCATCTCAACTGATTAATAGACCAACAATCCCTTCTTAAGCTATCATCACAACTTGTTTTTTCTAGTTTATTGACTCTACATTAATATCTTGTAGCTGGAGGAGTTGTTGCATCTATATTGGTAGCATTAAGCTTGTTCTGGGTTGGATTGGTTGATCAAGTTGGCTTCAAATATGAAGGAACAGCACTAAATCTTCCAGGAATCCCACTTGCCATTGGTCTATATGGATACTGCTACTCAGGGCATGCAGTTTTCCCTAATATATACTCCTCTCTGAAACAGCGCAACCAGTACTCATCCGTTCTCTTTGCAAGGTAAGCGGTCAACTAATTTGTTACGCTTTCACATATTTATCAGAGAAGCTACTATCATATATAAATGAGTCCCTTATGATACTTAATCATGTATATGTTTGCAGTTTCTTGATCTGTACTGTACTGTTTGGTGCGGTTGCGGTAGTGGGATTCGCGATGTTTGGACAATCCACACTTTCTCAATTTACACTTAACATGCCACAAAAGTTTGTGGCTTCAAAAGTTGCTGTTTGGACTACGGTACTCTCATCCTAAAAGTAGTCTTCATTTTCTAAACGTAGTCTTCATTTTCTTCTTATCTGTTGCAATAGAAAGTGACTTGGTTTCATCAACAAAACTGAAAGGGAGTCCTTTTTTTTCCATTTAAATTCAATTCTATTAGTGTATTTTCATTGTTTTATTCAAAAAAGTATAATTTCCATTATAACAATGGGAGTGTTATGATATAACATTTAACATATTGCTCATACATATCATGAACTTGAATTTATGGTTGGCAGTAACCATGTCCAATCTCCTAATGATTTATCGCAACATGCGCTGTGTTTAGACTACTACTTAATATTTAGATATTTAATTTATTAACTTTTTATTTTTTTTCCTTTTGTTTTGTCTCTTGCAGGTGGTGAACCCCATTACCAAATATCCTTTCCCTGTTGCTTAAATGTTTCGTATATATTTGAATATTTCTGCTGTTTTTTGACAATTAAAACTTTGCTGTCCTTAATTGTTGCTCACATATGCATTGACTTTGATGCCCATGGCATTGAGTTTGGAGGAGCTAATACCAGAAAACCATCAAAAGTCTCACTTCTACTCAATTGCCATAAGGACGAGCTTGGTAATTTCAATATTGGTAGTGGCTCTTTCAGTTCCATTCTTTGGTAAGTTCATCAGTTTCTATATAATGTGCTTATTTTGATGAATAATTTTTCGCTTCATGGAATATTTAAATTACCTACAGGTCTGGTGATGGCACTAATTGGGTCTTTTCTCACCATGCTAGTGGTAAGTTTTCTATTTATAGCCCATATTATTTATATCATGGTTTGGTGCTAATAATATTTTGTGGCAGACTTTGATTTTCCCATGCATTTGCTTTCTAAGCATCCTCAGAGGCAAGGTAACATGGATTCAGGTATGCAAAGACGCTTACTTACTTATCGGTTAATCTATTTTCATTGCTAGGAGTTAATCATCTGAAATCTTTACGTATTCATGGGATAACTATTTATTTGCATATGCGGTAAATGGACTTTCCCCCCCTCTTTTGACATCTCTATGACTCCTATGCAGAACATCAGACATATCAAATTATCAATCGGTAGTGATACAGAAATAATCTAACTTACTCTTCATGATATCACTATACTCGTGTCTGATATAAATTTCAGATGAACTATTGTATAGGAGAGAGAACTTTCAATTACCTGCAAAAAAGAAAATTTCCTCTTTCATACAGGGATGCCTAAGTTAATCGATTCGTTCTCTTATATGCAGGTCTCTTTGTGCGTCTTAATTATCGGAGTAGGAGTTACTTCTGCTGCTTTGGGCTCCTTCTCAGCGATCTCGAAGATAATACAAAGTTTAATTAATTGATGTCGCCATCTTTATTTTATAAATTAAGTTTATTGTTTTCTATTTCGTTGATTCGTTTTCCCCCATATTTTTCATCCTTTGTTAAATTAGATGGGGATATAGTAAAAGATCGAACCGTCAGACTGAACTGTTTAAGTGTTTGCTTGAGATTGTGTTGGTGTATACCTTGATCAAATCGCATATTTTTTTTATGTCAGTTTGATCTCTCTTTGCAGTGTAACTTTTTCGACTTGATCTCTCCTTGCAGTAACTTTTTCCAAGTATTACAATTCTCCTTAGTTTCTAAAGCCATTGTTTTCTTTAAGGAGAGTGCTACCTCCTGCGCAATAGCTCTCGGACATGTTTACCATGTTGGAATATAGTTAGCATACGGTCATATCATGATGTTTATCTATGTGGAAAATGCTTTCAACATTTCTTGAGGTTCTTTCAAAAAAAAAAAAAGAAAGAAACGTTTTACACAAGTATATGTCGCCTTTGTCTAATATAACTTCTCGAAATAGTAGAATTTTATGCACGTGTTTAGATAATTTGTTGGATGGTTACATTACCAAGAGGACTTCTTTGATCTGTGACATGATTACATTTTATAGGCAGATCTGTCTTCTGCTTCACAGCTAAATAACACTGGATAGGAACAATTAGACGGTTTTTGGTTATAGATGTGGAGTATTTACTGAAGCTTGATCAAATTACAAAAGGAAAAACTTCCACTATTGAATGTGCAAGGTATAATTACAGTATATACAATGGATAAGAAATACATATATCAGATAAGTAGAAGAGTGATAATCCGTATTTTGTTTTGAAAAAAGGAATAACAAATTTTACATGAGACTCAAGTCTCTTCAGATCAACATGTCTATATAAGCCTCGAGCCCTTCACTCGAAAGACAACCCTTTAACTTGTCTAAAGCCCTAGACTCCAATTGTCGAACCCTTTCTTTTGAAAGATCATACATAGCGCCGATATCTGAGAGAGACTTCGGCTTATTGTCTTGGATGCCAAACCGAAATTTGATAATCTGCCTCTCTCGGTGGTTGAGAACCCCAAGGAGGTTGTGTACATGCTCCCTCATCATTTGCTTGGCAATCATGAGATCTGGAGTCTCAACCTCAGGGTCTGCCGTAATTTCCTGAAGGAAGCAACTAAGGTAAGACTTTCATGGCATAAATGGAAATTTTGAATGATGTCCGATCCTTTAGTATATAAGAATATTTCAAAGAAATGTGGCTCTTCGGTAAACTGACTGAAGTTTCAAAATGTTTAGGAGCGAAAACTCATATGTAGCCGTTCGCTACATACTTAGCCATATAGGGACGTGTGTTCATTGAGAAATGGAGATACAAGTTGAACCTTCAAAAGGTACATGAGATTTTTTTTTTTTTTTTTTTTCAATAAGCTATTATTTCCAAAGGAAATTATGGGGTTCAATTGTTTGAGCAGTATTACAGCCTCTTCCAATGCACCAAAAGTCCAAAGTTATGATTAGTATTGAAATTTATAATTATATATATTAACATGGCCCTTTTTATGAGCCAAAACTTGGACCCACGTGTGATATTTTCTATTCTTTGATCTACTTTTAAGTTTTAAGTCATGGTGGTGAGACTTGAACCTGATCTGATATCATATTTGTACGACCGAATCTAGAAGCTCGTTGACAAGATGTAAGCCCTGGGACCCACTTAGTGCAATACACTGTTCGGCTCAATCCGCTGCCAAAAACGGCTAGTTAATATTACACTTGAATCTCATGCTTCATCTTATAAACCCATTGAAACTTATTTGAGTACACGACTAGGGACTAAAGGTTTGGGTATCACAATACTGCTGCACCAAAACTAAGAAGTCATTATGAGGGTCGATGATTTAGTGTTATACTTTAACCAGCAACCTAAATGTTTAAAAATTTGTATAAGGAAAAATATAGAATTTATGCATCTTATCAATCAATGGATCTTTTATGCATGATGGAAGAGAAACTTTCACCTTTTTTATGCACATTAATATTCACCTTGAAAAGACAAGAACGTAGTGTTTCATATAGTCAGTATTTATACACACTGGATACCTGAAACGTGACGTCCTGATCTAACCAAGCGCGTTCTTGAATTGAAAGAGGGTTTCTGGAGTTCATCAATAAGCTTTCTAGTTTTTCAACCCTGATGCCAACGAGCTTTGAAAGCTCTTGATTGCATGGAATATGACCTTCTTGAATGCACAATCTTCTTGCGTCTCTTATCTTCTTCAGAAGTGCAAAGACATTCTCCTGCCGCCAAACATAGTAAGATAAATAAATCACATCAAATTGTGGTACTAGATTACATCCGCTTCAACATGATAAAAATAAGATTTACATAGGGCATTCAAATGGGTGCATGTTCTTAATCCAAGAAGCACATCTAAGCACCAATTGGCCAATAAATACACACGCAAGAGATAAAGTCAAATACCTGAAAGCTGAAACCAAATACAATAATCTCACACGTGTATTTTTGACTTACTGGTCACATTATCAGTTGTCTGTCTGAATATGGATTCAAAAACAACTGCGACTGTATGGTTACGTTCATCTTCCTTATATCTATCTTGATTAAATTGTATGGTTAATAGAGAACTAACTGTCATATAAATATTTATTTCTAGGCCGAGTTATCCATATAGTGAGTTAGAACTAATTGATTACACCAAAAACATTCAGAGACCACCAGACCGAAACTGAGTAAAATTATGCTTCACTTGTAGTTTATATGAATAAGAAGAAAGAAATAACATCTCTAAGTTCGATGCTTTTCTAAACCATGTAGTTTCTCATCCCTAATTGTTTTATAAAACCATTATTTCCGTACCATAATTCGTTACATGGACTGGATGGCATTCAATTTCCTAATTTGATGAGGTTGAAGTTCATAAGACCATTTGTAAGTAAATGAAGTCAATACATTCCCTTTGTTATTTCCATAATTGGTGAAGTTATTCCACAGTGAACACTAAATAGGAACGTGTACATCTAAACACTACAGGAGCTTAACCTTCAGCGTTAAGCTTTATTCATGAATTTTGGATTAAGAACCAAATCACATAGATTTAATGTTAAGATATGGGGGGAATGAATATAGGATGAGTTTAGATATATGAACGTGAATGTTATAAAAAGGCTAAATTGCACTTAAATAGCCTAAGTTTCAAAACGGAGCAAATATATACCCTCAATTGTAAAAAAAATGTACACGTTACTACCTCCAGTTAAGAAGACATTAGAATATTCTCAGAATATTCCCACATCCTGCTCACGTGACTAATTTAAATGTCATCTACCCTCAGTTATTGTATTAATTACAACTCTACCTTTTCCTTTCTCCCTATTAAATATCAGTCCTTCTCTTCTTCTTCTTCTTCTTCTCTACTTCTTCTTCTTCTTCTTCTTTAATTCTCAAGGTTTGCAATCGCAATCTCAAATTTATACAATAAAAGAATACTACATAAAGTCCTCCATCCAAAGCTTCAATTGGTTCATCAAGGTATGTTGGCGGGTGAAGACAAGAAGATGAATTTGAAAATTAGGACATTATCATAGAGTTGGGGGAGAGAATTTGGGGATTTGTGGGTAAAAGTAAGAATTGTGAGTTTCTTTAATCGTGGGGGGTTATTGGCGAAGAAGGGCATTATTGTCCTTTTGGGTAAAAGTTAACATAATTTAACAAATTCACAAGACGAACAACTAAGGGTATATATTTGTTCCATTTTGAAACTTAGGGTAATTACGTGTTTTTTTGGGAAACAATATGATATTTAAGTGTAGTTTAGCCTTTTAAAATGTGAATATTGCGGGAATGAATATTTTCTGTAGGTGTATGGGACAATTGTCTTAAATCGATTATAAATAGACGAAGCTTCGAAGATATTTCTCATAACAAAATGATATGCTTTTTCATTATGGAGAGAATGAGCAAGAGGCTACTCATGCCTCGTGGTGACACTACAGTTACGTTTTATGTTAATAAACTAGAGGCAGAGAAGCCGATCCCAATAAATCTTCAGAGGTTACAATGTGCAGGTAAGAATTCCAATAATATATGTTACTTTCTTTTCATCAAACTATGTTTGCTATCAACTTATATTCTTGGATAAGTGATTTTTGTTCCTTGTTTCATATGCATATGCAAGAGTATACAAGTACATTTATTTTCATGCATACATAGGTTGGATGTCCTATATGGAGTTTTCTAACTACTTTAATATATATTTTCTTTATATTCTAATCTCCTATTACGTTTTCCCTTTTCTTGGGTAAAAAAATAAATGGGTTTTTATGATATAAGACCCCAAATCTTCCTTATTTCTAAATAACACCCCCAAATATTGATATGTCTAAATAGCCCCCCAAATTATGTGGATGTTTTCCAAACCATGGTTAACCCTTAACCATGTATGTTAAATTACAATAATAGTCTTGCTCAATAACTCAAGCCTCTTTAAACCCTAATCTCTATAATAGGTTGTCTTAATAACTTCAATAACTCAGCCTCCTTAAATCCTAGTATATATCCTCCTCCCCCCCCCCCCCTCCCCGGTCAAATGTCAGAACCCAAGAACTCAAACCCTAATGGGGGTATTTAGAAAAGGGGTGAATACAACTTGACCGTTGTTGCCATCAAGGGCATAACAGTCCATCCAAAACAAAATTTTAACAGTGACGGTGACAATATGAGTTACTTCTGACAGAGCAGGTTTTTTCAACAACTTACATGATTTTTTTTTTGGGTGGGGGTGGTTATTTAGAAATATCAAGATTTGAGGGTGTTAAATAGAAATAAGGAAGATTTGGGGTCCTTATATCATAAAAACCCAAAATAAATTCAATCACATGCTAACGCAACTTTAAATTCAAAAGATAATTTTATGCAAAAGAGGGCGGATGAATGGAACAGATGAAGAGCAGCCAATTTGTAGAGACTAAAAAGAATCATAAAAGCTGGGCATAAGTGTATTTGCACATAATAAATTAGTAAATCCAAGAATAACTTAAACTCGTTTTTCTTCTCGAGTTTAATTTACAAATTAATAATTATTTCTTACTACAAATCTTCGACTTCTATAACAACAAATCTTTCATCCAAATATCATCCTAGGAGTTAATGTTGTAGATGACTCTCAGGATAGTTTTTTTCTCCTTGATGTAATGCTTTTTCATTTTCCAGATTAGGTAGGCACATAGTTTCTTCTCTTGCTTTCACACTTTTTTAACTTGCAATTCTTTTGAATGTAGATGTTGTCATTCAGTAGTTTCGATACTATGAATGACTCTCTCCATTGCAGCTGATTGAGGAAACACAAAGGTCAAAAGAAAGGTAAAGCTCAAAAATATTTTCATGTTTTCTACTTTCAAATTTTATATTACATCTTCTGCATTTTAGTTTTTTTTTTTAAATCTTTTGTGCATGTGACATAATGAGGGTACTGGGAACAACCTTCATCAGTGATGAACTAAGTATGAGCAATATCCCCTGAAAAGAAGGAAGACGCCAAAAGAAAAGAGAAAAGAGCGAACAATAGAAATGGATTGTAAACAGCCCAATTTTCAAACCTTAACTGTAGCATTTTCTAAAAAAATAAATGGCTACAAGCCTACAACATTTGTAAAAATAAATTGCATATTTTATGTAAAGCTTCACTAGTTAAATTTATATGAACTTAGGTATGGCATTGCTATTAATCCTTATGTGCATCTGTTTGCTTAACTTGATTCATTTTGACAACAATGTGTACGCAAGACTAATTACACTTGTCATGTTCTTTAGCTTCTTATTTAGTTCGCAATGAAAGAAATTGAAAGGGAATAGGGTGATGGACTAGGTTGTGAAAGAAGGAGAACCACATTGAGGGCTCAGGTGGCAGAGGAGAGAAGAATGAGGATGAGAAATTGAGGAAAGAAAAAAAAGAAGATGAAAAGAATGAGCAGATATCCTCTTCTAAGGGAGGATAGAGATGAAAAGAATGAGCAGATATCTTCTTCTAAGTGATGATAGGTGTCAGCTAGTCATTAGAATAAGTGTTCTAGATAAAGTAAATTTGGGCATATATTAGGATATAGCTTTAAAAAAAATTTGAATAGCAACTTGCTGACCACTTTGTCATGGTCCAAAGTAAGCACCTGATTGGTATTTTAATAAAACCCCATTCAGTCTAAGCATATGCTGTAGTAATATGCAACCTACATGACTTAACACAGGTCATACATCAAATGAAAGGCCCTACTTTGACGTGCACAACAGAAGTAATAACAAGCCCCATTTGGACAGTAACAAGAATGAATCTCATCACGAGCCGCAACAATATATAAGAACTAACTCGAGCAACAACAAGACTTATCATAATATTATCCCATTTGGACCACAGGACAACAAGAATAACCATAGTAAAGTTCTAGTCGAGTAGTATAATAACAACATTGGAAATATTGCTATTGATAAAATTGGCAGAACCATCAAACTTTAAGCAAACAGATATAGGCTAAAAGTAATTTGTATCTTGAAAATTAGATTTTGACAATTGATTGAAGTTATAAACAGACATGATTTATGATGCTTCAGGACCCAAAAATGAAATGAGAAAAGAATGAGGCGTGCAAATTCATACCGGCAAACGAACTGTTCGGGAGTTTTGAAAAATAGCCTTCCTAATTGACTGTCGTATCCACCAATAGGCATAGGACGAAAATCTGCATCCAGATTTAGGCTTGAACTTTTCCAAACTCTTCATAAGACCCTTGCTACCTTCCTACAAATATTTCGGAGGTTATGATTCATATGGAAGAATGCATTCCTTTGAAGCACAGAAAGTAATATTTAAAGCAAATACAGTACCAAATATGAAAATTTATAAAATGTCTGAAGCCCAGAAGTAGCGAACTAACATAAGTACATTTACAATAAAACGCAGAAGATGAATACTGCTAAAATAGAAAACAGAACATGATATATGAATGAGATTAGACCTACCAAATGTTCTAAAAGTTAAAAGTCCTTCAGATACCTCGCTAGAGAAAAAAACAGCATATAACAGAGAAAGCTTAGCAACCTGAAGTAGATCCTGAATGTTGAGACCTTTTCCTTCATATTGTTTTGCGACATGTATAACAAGTCGGAAGTTTGCATATATCATCTTCTCTCGGCTGCGGTTGCCAGAACGAAGGCATGACTGCAAAGTTTGGCAGCTCATTCCAACAGCTCCAGCCCACTCAGCTAATGTTGGTTCACGACCAAATTGCATCTGAAGTCTCTGCTTAGATCCCTCTAATTTCATAAGCTCCTGTAAAGCATTAAATAATGGGTAAACACAATTATGCTAACAATACAAAGAATCAAGTAAACAGGGAGAGAGTGCCAACATACCTGTATATTGAGAAACAAATCTTTTTCTTCTTTAACTGTTAATAACTGCTTTGTTTCAGGGCCCCACAAGAATAACCTGAAGGGGTCATCAGTATTAAGAGCCTTCTGTACCTTCTTCTTTAAATCTACAAGCATTGCACCTGAAACCTCATAAACAGCATTCTCCGGCTTTTTGGGAACCTTGCGTCTCTTGGATTGCCTCTCCAAACGCCTTTTTGACCTCACCGTTGTTTCTTCATTGATTGCAACCTCCTCAGTAAATCGATTAATATCCAAGCTGAATAGAAATAATTAGAGCTTGAATGGTATATATGAAAGCAGTAACCCAACTAAACAGGAAAATTTTAAAGGATTTACTACATTTAGGTACCCTGAGGTATAGTGTAACTAAACGGGTGCCCTCAAAGTCTACATATATACATGTGTAACCTTGAGATTACTGATGGTAACTACATGGTAACTACACAGGTAACCGCGAGAAGGAAAAAAAATAAACAAACTCTAGGGCCACCCATATGATTACAATCAGTATTCTAAGGGTTGCCCGTGTAGATATGCAGATTCCAAGGTCACCTGTGTATTTGCACCATACCTTAAGGAACCTGGATGTATTTAATCCAAAAATAAAAGCAACAATGCAATGAGAAACATACCCTATAAAATATGGCTCCCGCAATTCAGATTCTAAGATACTGGATTTATCTGCTAGCGAGGCTGCTTTTCTTGAGGCCAACATGGCTTTCTTTGCAAGAGCAAGAACACTTCCTGGTTGCACGGAGCTCAGACTGTTCTGCAACACTAAACTTTGATCACTTCCTGCAAGTATATTGGCACCGCTATTAACTGACTCTGACGACATGGCCAAATATTTGTTTTCCTCGGAGCATGGGACAGTGAATCTGAAAAGGGAAAGCAAATATAAAAATGATTGAGAAAATGTCTGAACTGTTATCAAGAAACTCTGAGAACAACTGATCATAGCAACAAGATAGGATCAGAGTAATCTTACGGGGAACACAATCCAGGCTGATAAAGTAATCGGCGCTCCAAGTATTTCAGATATTGATCAAACTTTTGCTTTTCGCTTTCTTCACATATTGATAGCCCATCCTCAGCATGCCGCCTATCCAATGTAGCCTTGAATTTTGAATTTGAAGGAAATTACTTTACAAATAAATGAAATATACAAGCAGATTCTGATCATTTAAAGAGCTTACTGAAACTTGTGCTTTATTCATATGATGTAATGCTCAAGAAAGCATATATAGGAATAGGCATTCACAAAAGGCAAGGAATTCTCCATTAACACTGTGGAAGAGAATTTGTTGATCTATTGCAACTGAATTAGTAATAAGCTACATTAGATATATGTATCATGCAAGCAAAATCCTATTTTGTTTTTCTGTCATAAACAAATGGGTCAACAAGTTGATGTATACCAATTCATCCAAGTTCATTTTTTGTTCTATGGTTTATCATCGAATTTATAGTTACACATTCAATTTGTCTACCACTGCCCTGCAAAATTACAATAACATTCATCTATTCTGAATGCATGTAAGAAATCAAAAACTCACCGCTAGAAGCTTGTTTCTATAGTTAACTCAGATGGCACATCATGTAACGGCTAGATGTTACTGCTGTGGTGAATTGTAAACTCATGCTTCCCATGGAAGTCTCTATAAATGTACACATTCCACCAAGTATTAGGTGCCACAATACCTATTATTCCATCTCTTATGCATGTTGGGTACATGCTGCAAATCAAGAATCTAAACTCCTTTTAACATATATAGAGTTTATGCACTTAACATTAGAAGGTACATAGATTCACTAGGTTTGATAACAATCAAAAGACACCCAACAAAGAAGGAAATTTAAAAATCAAAAATCACTCTCTTAAGTTGCATGCATAAGGTTGAAGAATATTTCATAGCTAACAATAAGATATGCATGTTAAGTGAGGGGAGTTCACAGCCGATGTAAGGAATCAAAATGTCGTAGCTAACAATATGATATGCATGTTGACACTTGGCATGCGTGCATAAGGTTGAAGAATATTTCTTCACTGACACAGAAAGAAGCAGCAGCAAGGCCTCACATGAGAGATTTGAGGCATTTTATGCATACTTGCCAATGAGACATGCAATTTTTTTTCTTTATCTTCCCCTTCTTATTCCCCTTCCGCTCGAGATAATGATTTAGAGGAAAAAGCCACAGAGCTTAGACAGATCAGTAAGGTCAAAGGTGAAAAAACATTAGTGTATTCACCATAAGACAAACGATCTGCTCATGTAAACCAATATTTTATTAAGGGCTATAGGGTTGAAAATAGCACTAAAAATAATCATTATATGAATCATAACTACCCTACCACCAATAGGGGTAGAGAAAGTCCAAGGACTAATCGCACTAAAACAGGGAGAAAACAACCTCATTAAAGTGAGTAAAAGGAATCACTAGAGTATTAATATTCCAAATTTTATTGCAACATAATATATCACTTCTTTATAAAATGTGAAATGCAACCTAAAGCATCCCTGTACTAACACAATGACTTTTTGAATATGATAACCTTGGCCAAATCAAAGCATACAAATGTCCAAGGATAAGTGAAAAAAGATAGAGCTCGAATATGAGCACAAAGAAATAACAAAAATAAATCTATAAGCCTTACCTGAACCATTTTTCCTTCCTTCACAAGGCAGCTGTTGTAGTTACTATTTGATTCCTGTGGATAAACCGATGGTGGGAACTGCCGAACTATTGACGTAGCTGGTAAAAAAGTGACCGGCCTAGTTGCTTGATCATGTAACATCAGAACTGCATATACATAAGAGATTACAATGTCTTTTAATCAAGAGGATCTCTTTTATTGAAGAAAAGCTAAAAAAAAGTTTATTCTGGCTGTATGAAAATCAAGAAACAAACTGCAACAAATTATATGATAAGGCAGACAGCAAACAATGGTAAAGCTTAAAGGATGCCTCATAAAACTTGTTATATTGCTATCCAGTATCAGAGTTTAAGGATGATATCCAAGTTAAGATACATAGTATAGTGGTCTCAAATATATGACCACTACTGCTTCTTTCTGTTTTTTTTTTTTTCATTGGGAACTAGAAAACTATCCCTTATTTCCACTCTCAATTTGGGGTTTTGGGGTAGTGGAAGGGAGTGGCAGGGACTTAAAATGATAATAGAGGTAGGCTTCCCTAAGATAGCTCAAATGCATCTTCAGCAGATTAAGATAAAATATCACTAATTTGTTTCAAATTTCGGGCTCGGCCTTACACAGAATATTAGGAAACTAAACTATGATCCTTGTCCTCACCAATGCATTTTTGCTGTACAGAAACCTGAATGCACTGAAGTAAATAAGATAGATCAAGATGGAGGTAGATGTCTCTTGACCAATTCTGTTTTAAACTCCAGGTCTCGACCCCTGTTCTCCAAATCACTATGGTTAACATAGTCAGATGCTTAATGAAAGCAGTGTACAGGCACTCATTTTCTGATATGAAGCAGTTTCATATATTCTCAATAAAATCATACTTAATCAATTATAGGAAAGAGGAAGATAAAAAATGAGAACATTTTAGATTGTTTTCGTCACCAAAAACATATAATGCAGCATGCTCAAAATGTAGAGAGACTTCTGATTCCAAATTTTCTTCTTAACAGACAGGACTAGTGAGTGATAGCAAGCCAATCACATAGATTTCAATTAGATATGCAAGTCATTAGCAGATTGTACATCTTATGTTCCTCTTGCTCAGATTCAACCAAAAAGTTAATAATGCTCTTCTACTCTTGCTTCACAAAGATTTGACACTTCCTTTTTCTAAGTTGGCATTACCTTCATCAATTGCATCTTTACTTTTCCAGAGCTCTTGTCAAATAGAATCTCTATGAGAAACTTCATATGTATTTGACATATCATAGAAACTTAGTGCCCTCTATATTGTGGTCAATTTTATTTCGTGAGTGTACTAGCTTATGCTAGAACATTTTCTCTCATCTTTATATAACACAACCTTCAAGAATATGACCGAAAGAACCTCAAAAATCCAGTTCAAAGATGCGTAAGAAATGAAAATGTGATGATCTTCCAACTACAGAATGGAATGAGCTTCGCACATCAGACTCTCTTGGCACCAGGACAACCTCATAAATTTAAGTGCTGCAGTAGCCCACTGCTTCTGCTAGACACTAAACATTAGAACCAAGAAAAGATGATAGACCACAAATGAAAGGACCTTTTTTTCTCCCTATTTAATGTTTTTAAGGCCATGTTCCCTACGTTATTCTTTAATTAAATCCATCTTTTTTTGCGGGTTTTGTTTTCTGATGGGTTTTGGTTGGAGGATAAGGAGTAAGAATATCATATACCATGAAGTTCACCTTTTCGCTGCAACGAATCGAAAAACAAGGGGAATAGTTTTAAGTCCCCTTGTGATTTGAGGGAATAAATCGGCAACTACAACTTCGCCATTGCCATTTTCAAATTAACATACATTATGTATGAAGACATATCGTAATCAGATGAACAAATCAGAGTTAACACCCTTGTTCAAAAAGTCCGATGTGGCAAAAGAGCAAACAGTTCATTCTCATTTTTACTACAATGAGAAATAAACAAGAACAACCAACAAGTTCCTATAAATCCATTTGAGGAACGATAACTTCTAATCTCGAACAGCAAGCAGACTACTCAAACCCAACTAAGAATCGCCAGCCAAGCTACCATTAAGCAAAATATGGGAAACCCACGTGAGAAACAAGCAAACAGCTCATACCCATTTCAGAATTCACAGAGAAAACAAGGGTATGAAAAGGTACAGGTAATGAGACTTGATGAAAGCTAGCCATCCAATACCTGAGGTCGATGAGAGGGGATTTCTTGGGTGGTGGGCTCGTGGGATATTGGGAGCAGAGGGGGTTGGAGAGAGGAGGCTCCTTCCAGCCTCCATCTTTGCTAGGTTCTATGGCCTTATCTCTGTATTTTTCTCTCTGTATAATTTTTAAGTGAGAAAATAGAAAGCTTAGCTCGAAGACGGGTCTGGTTGGGTAGTTATGTCGACCCGGACCCGAATCCTCGATGAGAAAATAGCCTCTATTTTATTTTTGTGTCTTCGGATCCTTTGCATCCTCGATTGTACGTCTACAATTCATGAATAAAACCTTTTTTTCAGTAGACCCTATTATGAATAATACTAACTAAATAAATTATATAAAAAAATTACTTATAGAACCCATTAGATGAATGGATATTGGTTATCCTATCAAGTAATTATAAGCACTCTCTATAATTAAGCATGTAGAGGATCGCTTATTTTGCGGTTAGAAGAATTTTTTTAGAAAGACTATTTTTAAAAATAATTAGCAAAAATAATCTTTTTGCTAAATAATTAGCAAAGTCGGCCTTTTTTGGCTGGCTTGAGCTCGATTTTGTTAAATTAGGTTGAAAACACATGGGACTACTACTCCCGTGTGTTTAGCGATCCCTAATCAAGCTTTAAAAGGTAACCTAGAAAACACATGGGACTAATAACAGAAATTGAAGCCCATAAATCCATATACATGGGACTGTCAGTCACGTGTACTCAACAGAGCCTTGTAGTAAATACATAGGAGTAGTAGTCTCGTGTATTTGCCGGGCGTATAAAACGCCCAGCCGTGCCAAAAACTAGGGCACAACCGCACTCGAGCTTCTCTCTCTCATTTTTGTGATCCTCTCTCTGCACTCTCCCTCAACTCTCTCCCAAGCTCTCCCTCAACTCTCTCTCGATCTCTCTTCCGCGCCCCATTCATCCTCTCCACATCACCCCAAAACCCAAACCGAGGAACCTCCCCAAAATATCTCTCCAAACCCAAACCGACGTTGTCTAACCCCTCCGACACCAACGGGCTCCAACGCCGACAAACTTCAACTCTTCATCAAGGTAAAATTTACTAAATTTGTATAATTTGTTATTTACAATTGTAGTATGAAAAAAGCCCTATATTTTGAATAATGTTATTTCAATTTTAATAAACACTATGGTGTGGTTAAAACTAGAATCTAACTAAAATATTGATAGATTAAATTTGATATAGAGTATTTTTAATTACGCTTTAACTAGAAACATGATATATGAAATTTAATTTATGACGTATAATAGATAATTTACATATGATGATTGTTTATATTTTAGTTCCAATGGCGAATGGATTACCCGTTGTTTGCTTCTTCAATGGAAGACTAAGTGTTGAAATGAAAAATATGTCTATATACGAGGGAGGATCTAGAAAAATATTCATGTTATCTAAAACATGCAACTTCGATGAAATGATGAAGGAAATACACAGAGTTGCTAGAATTAACCACGGAGAGTTTGTTGGCCCTATAGTTTTGATGATGATTTGTCAAACAATTTATCGCTAATCTATTCTCTAGTTTTTGTTGTTTTGTTTTTCTCTTTACAGGTAATTCAACACACGACAATCAAGCGTTAAAGATTCAAGTTCATGCGTGTGCATTCACCTAGGTATAAGTTTAGTTTGTTTACATATATCGTATGTCGATATTTAAGCTCAATATATGTACACTTAACACAGTTTTGACATCTTTCTATCATATAAATGATTTTTCATCAAACTTTGTTACTACAGCTTTTAGTTCATGTTTACATCTTTCTCATACCTCATTATATATATATAATGTATGCATGATACATATATACGTGTTTACAAGTCATATCTTAATTTTCATGTTTACGAAAAACAGGTTTTCTGAACACTTTTCAAAAATAGGGAGTTTTCACAAACAAAAATTGTTTTTCCAAAAATTCCTTTTCAAACATGTTTATTTCATCATTTAGAAACTTTTCCCAAAGTTTTACTATTTTTGGAATTGATTTGATATTTTTAATGTATTTTCAAAATCAGCCCAAAACCTGTCATATGCCATGTATCAGTTTGCGGTCGACCGCCACGGTCGACTGCCAGCAACAAACTTTCTTAGTATGGCTCTTATGTGCTCGCGGTTGACCGTGACGGTCGATCGTGAATCCATCCAGAGACTTTCGCGGTCGACCGCCAGCTTTCAAACCCTATTCTCAGCTTTTTTGTGCCTCGCGGTCGACCGCGAGATTTCCACGGTCGACCGCCGATCTCATCATTGCCTTTTAACGGCTATTTTCTACAACGGCTGTCTGAGGCTATTTTGGTCTTTTCAAGTTGGTTTTGGCTGATATTTTGAGTGGGTATAAATATCTCATTGCTGTTCTCTTTCAAACATATTAAGAGTTTGTTTTTACATAAGTTTTAACAAGAGATTAAGAGTTGTTTAAGAGTTGTTTAAGCTGATTTCCTTAATCTGTTCTAAGAGAAGTTTTCTACAATAAGAAGAAGCTTTCAACTCCTATTTGGGATGACCATCTACTGTTCTTCTTGTTTATTGAGAAGTTTTCTAAACTCTTTCTTATATAGCTTATTGATTCATTTTCATAACTTAGCTATATTTTATTTGAGTTGCATATTATCTATTCACTGTTATCACACACACAATATTGAGCTTAATATTTTCATACTATATAGTGTGGGTTGTGGAGTATGATTTAGTGAGTGTGAGCTTCATTGTGTTCTCATTTGTTATCGAGAACAAATTATTGTATTTAATCATTGTTGTGAGTATCACTTGTAATACACTTGTACACCGAGAGAAGTGTGAGGCGAGAGACGGGGTCGAATCCTATAGGAGTGGCGTCGGTTGACGAACCTAGGGAGAGGTTGCATCCGAGCACTTGAGGAGGAGGACACGCGCTAGGTTCCTATACTTAGTGTGTAAAGTGTGATTGCATAGTGTTTGTTATGTGAGAGTTTTTTATAAGCTTGTAAACCGAGTGTGTAGAAGTTCTGGCTTTCAAACCGGATTGTGATAGTGGAGATCTCCTCGAGGTAAGGAGCGGAGACGTAGGTCGTGGTGACCGAACCTCGTAAACATATCGTTTGTCTGTGTTTTGCTTAGCGTACTTTTATTTGTGCTTATTCATATCATTCTTGCTCATATCTATCTTATATCATTCTTGCAAGAACAAATTAATCAATATAATCTTAATTAGTATTTAATCGCTTTAGGGTCTAACAATTAGTATCAGAACTTGGTGCTCTTTTATTTAAGGACTAATCGCCTTGAGTTAAAGATCCAAGTTATCGTTTTTGTGCTAATCTAGTGTTGATTGTATTTTGCTTGTTGCATATAATCGTTATGGATATATATGATGCATCTAGTTTAAGTTATGCTATTAATGTTGCTACTCATTTGAATATTTTTTCCTATGCTCAATGGCGTGTTAGATTCAAACTTTTTGTTCAATCTAAGCAATTCGATTTATGGGAAATTATTGAGGAAGCTTATATTATTCCCACTTCGGAAAAATCCAAGTGGAATATAAATGATAAAAGAATGTTTAATATGAACAAGCTTTTGTTAGAATATTTGCTTAGTGCCTTTCACTCATCTTTTTCTAACAAGTTTGCTTATTTTGATAGTGCTTACACCCTATGAAAATTCATTGAAGCACATCAAGGGGACTTGGAGGCTATTAAACAAGCGTTGGAAAATCCTGCTTTGAATCTTAAAGAAGCCTCATCTCCATGTACAATACCACTAGGTGATAACCCTAGTGAGGTATGCGAACTTGACAACGATGATATTATTACTTTTGATGAGCTTGCTCTTGAGTTTGAAAAATTACACAATTGCTATATTGATGTAAAAAGTAAGTATGTTGATATGAAATCTATTCATGAAACACTAGCCACTAAGTTTAATTTCATTGCAAATGAAAATATAATTCTTAAATAATGCAATGAAAAGTTAAGTTTAGAAAATGCTTGTTTGCTTCATAAAAATTGTGATGCCATGTTAGAAGTAAATAAGTTAAAATCTATGATAAATAATCATGTTTATCCTGCTTCTAGTAGCAATGCTTGTATGCACAATGATGAGTTGAATCAAATGAGAAAACGAATATCTTCCTTAGATTCAGCACTAAACATTTGCATTGCTAATAATAAAAAGCTTATGGACTTGTGTGCAAAATACAATGTTAATTATTCTAAGAAACTTATTCGCTATGCACACATGTATGACAAAATTCACAAATGTTCTATTTGCGGTCTTAAAGGCCATTTAGCCCAATTTTATCATAATGCACAAAAAATTAACAAGCCTATTCATGATTGTGCATCCCATCAAGCTTCTTCATCACATACACACGTACACACACATAGTATAAATCATAAACATGTTCATGCGTACAAATGTGATTATTGTGATCGTTTTGGTTATTTGGCCATGTTTTGTTTTGATTTGAAAAGAAATTCTCGTTTGCAAAATAATTACAAAGAAAAATCTATTTTTGCTAATGAACCACGTGCAAATTATTTCGGTCAACGCAAACCATTCAAACCCCTACATTGCACAAATTGCAATCGCATGAGTCATGTTTATAATTTTTGTTTTGACCGTATCGGTGCACAGAATACACCTAAGCGGGTTCATAACCCTAGGACCTTGGATTTACATAATAGGGGTCATGTCCCAAATTTTAGTGGTACCAAAATGAGTTTCATGTCTTTTTTTTTTTGTCTTTGAAAAAAAATTGGCTTAAATGTTGCTTTTCTTTGATATTAAGACAAAATAAGATGTTTGTTATGGATTATTAAGTAAAATCTTTATATATATATACAATTTTTATAAAACAAGTTTGCTCATTGATCCAAATTGAATTTTTCACAAAACCAGATTTTACAAAAATTTTGATGTTATTTTTCTCGCGGTCGACCACCACGGTCGACCGTCAAAGTTTCTGGAGATTGTTACGGTCGACCGCCACGGTCGACCATAAGAAATACTTTTTGTTTTCTACTCATTTTGTTATCGGGTTTCGGTTTTATTTGGTTAAACTTTTTAAACCCGAATCAATCATAACCGTCGATCCTATTTCTAAACCGATCTGAGCCGTTCCGTCTTCATCTCAATAAACCCGACCCTCTTC